CTGCTGTTGGGTGTGGCCTAATGCTAATGAGTTCCTGCTGGGCTTTTTCTACAAAAACAGCCCTGGCAACAATACTTCATAAGGGCAATCCAATTCACCAGTTTTCCTAGTGGATGTGTTTGGTGTGGGTGGAGGTATGGATCCCTATGTAGGACTACTAGTTGCATGCAAGAAGGCATTGCTACAGCTGGACCTGCACCAAGGAGCTACACTTAAGGTTCAAGACTACTCTTGTATGAGCTTTACCCTCAGTGATACAGATATGTATTTTTAGACCCTGAAAGGAATGGTCTTATGGAAGTCTCCCCTTTAGATGGCAAGTGTGAAAGTCTGCTTTGGAGGGCCCCTCTGAGCCACTGCCCTGACCTCCACCCCAAAATGCAGCCCTGATGGCATTACTGATTCCCCTTGATCTAAAATTATGAGCATTATGAGGGTGACCATCTACAAGTTCCAACCATTTCCATAATACTTGTAAGTGCGCCAAGAACTGATCTTAGGCTCACAATCTATCACCAGATCCAGAACCTGGGTCTGGTGGAGCTCCAGCTATCCCATACTTCAGTAATTTATTTGAAGAGAAGGAGGTTTCACTTTGCACAGAAGCAAACTTCGCAGAACCCCCTTTTCATACTTCTGTATGGATGAAACTGGTCAAAGTGCAGGCAGCACAGGGATTGTCTGAGGCGTACTTCTGTGCTATGTACTTATGTTGAGACTTCAATCCAAAGGTCATACAGAGTTCCTCCTTGTCCAATCAATATCTGAACTCTCATATCTAATGTGCCATATATTTAAGAAGTATATCTGGCACTACTTTCAGGTGGCTAGCCATGCAGGCATGCAGTAGAAGTCCAGTAGCACCCTAGATTCTAGTCCAGTAGCACCTCAGAGACCAACAAGATTTCCAGGGTATAAACTTTCAAGAATCAAAGTTCCCTTTGTCACATGGCACTGGGTCAGCCACATATTAGTCCATGCTAGCTTGTATCCTTCCACTCCACTCAGCGAAGCTTGTAGCCTTCCTCCAACCTAAGTGCCTTCCTCCAGGCACTTGGAAACAACTCTCCCACCAGAGGAGACGCTACTTCCTTCAGAGGAAGTTTCCTTAGGAATATGGGCCCGTAGCCACAATGGGGCATCTCGGGGCCATGCCCCCTTAATTAACAACCCCACCCCACAAAATGCTATCTCCAAAGTAAAAATATTGTTTGAAGTCTGAATTTAGGAAGGCTTCAGGTTTTGCTGAGAGATATGGAAGGGATTCAAGCCAGCATCTGTAGGTGTCACGATTGTTGTAATAAGCCAAGAACTCTTGTACTTGAGAGATCCCTTCCCTGTTAAATTGAAGCCGAATCAAAAGTAAATCTGCTGCTGTTCCCCTGCTATTCCCCTGTTGCTTGGTACACCTGGAGAAGACAGACTAGAATACTATTTTAGAACACAGTGGGGTAACTTTTCATTTTAGACATCTGTCAGAAATTGATCAAACGGCTTCAAAATATTTAGACAGAAGATGTCAATGTATGGCAACTCCTTAGCAGCACAGAAAATGTTCCAAGCTGATTATGCTATGATCTCCGTTGAATATAGAACACCTTAATGTTGGTTTCATATCTAAGTGTTTCAGCAAATAGCAGATGATGAGCTCAGCAGTGACAGAGGAACCGAAAGACATAAAGAAAAGAAGTATTACTCATTCAGAAATATGACCGAAACTACTGCTGACAAGTCCTGTCTGAATATTTGTTTCCTAATCAGAACTCCGACACCAGAATCAAAATCTTTCTAAAGTGATAAAGTGTATATAGTGCCTAGGGCCTGATTCTGCTATAATACAGTTACGGCCCCCCCCCCATCATGTATGTAATCAGACTGGAAGAATTGTGCTGTCTTATAATTGTTTTAAGTTATTTATATAGTGCATTATCATAAGCCATCTGTGGAACATTTTGCAGAACTGGTAAATAAATACACTTTAAAACAGTGCTCCAAAGAGAAGGGTGGGGGACTGTTGCTAGAAATAAGCTTGAGGTGTTGTGGAGCTACCGTTTGTCTGGTGAATATTCATGAAATCTTTTACATAGTATATCTAAGGACTGAATAACCAAGTTCACGAAAACCACTTGCAAAAACAAAATGTTTATCATATTCTGGCATTTCCTGTGTTCCCCCTGCCTCCTGTGATCACAAATATGAATGAAGTGGGTTTATGAAAGGTGTGCAGGGGTGATTAATTAATTGCAGGTTTAACTGCCCATGTGAAACTCGCAGGGCATAGTTCCCCTTACCATCCCTTAACGTGCAAAGACTTGGAGTTCATGAGTTATCCTCATTTCTATGAGAAACATTACTGCACAGCTGTGCTCATAATTAGCCAAGGAGATAATCTCTTTCCAATTTTCGGAATGAGTATCAGTTTTCAGGACAAGTGAGCAACCACAAGCTCTTGAACCAGTGGGATAATGTTTTGCATGCCTATATTACAGCTGTTAGAGAAACATAAATAAGTTCCAATTGCTCTTCTGGGATAACTAGTATTGCTAAGAATGGAAGTAACAAGAGCTCAATCTATTCAAAACCTTTTCTTCATCTCTTTTATCATATTCCCTTCACCAACATCCTGTTTTCAACTAATGAAGTGATCCCAAGATCTGATGGTACTTTCGTGCACCATAGCATTGGCCCGCAGTTGGCTCATTTAGAGCAAAGGGGTGTTCTAGGGTTGCCAAGTCGATCTTCTGCCGGAGCGGGGGGCTTCCGGCCGGCGTCTGGTGTACGCACCGCATGCACGTCACCCAGAAGTGACGTGACGACGGCAGGCACGCTGGGGGCGGGACCATGGCCATACGAGGGAAACCCATAGAGTTTTCCCTTGGATTGCCGTGGCCCCGCCCCCAGCATGCCCGGCGTGGTTGCGTCACTTCCGGGTGATGTGTACGTCGGGGTGGAGTTCCCCCGGGGGGGCCGATCCTGCGGTGGCGGGGAACAGGCCTCTGGGGCGGGGGTTTCCCCACCCACCAGGGGGACTTGGGAAGCCTCAAAATATGTAATAATGCTTGCAAAGTTTACAGCATTCCTCCATAATAAGAGGGAAAGTTCACATAAGCACCATGAGGGTACTTTCTGGTACTGTCTGTAGAGTACATGAAATCTGATAGAGAAAAGCAGTCACTTTTCTCCTAAAACATTTTAGTTACACCATCATGGAGTGTGGAGTGCACTGGGCCTGAATCAGCTGGCGGCTGGCCTGCATATTCAAAAACAGGCCTAAACAATAGGGAAATGGGAGCCATGGATCAGCACCAATCACTGCTGCTTGTTCTGTC